CTACTTTATCTCTTCTTAGAGTTCCAAGTTTGATTGGAAAGGAGATGGAGAAGCTTAGGAGAGATTTCTTATGAGAGGGGCTAGAAGAAGGGAAGGGTTGCACCTGGTGCATTGGGAGGTGGTTTCTAGGCCCTTGGACTTAAGGGGGTTCAGGTATTGGTAATGTGAGAATGAGAAACACTAGCTTGCTAGCTAAATGGTTGTGGCAATTCTATCATGAAGTCGATATCTTATGGCACAAGGTTATTGTTAAGAAATACGAGTCCCACCTCTTTGAGTGGATTGGTGTGGGTTTAAAAGACACTTTCAAAAACCTGTGGAAAGTGATGGTAGCAAATATTCCTTTGCTTTCTCAATTTCTTCATAATGATTTTGAGGACGGGTGGATACCTATTGTTGGGAGGACAAGTGGTTGGGGGATAAACCCTTCTACTCCTTGTACCTTGTTTATATCCCTTATCTTCTCTGAGGAACCACTCAGTTGTTTCAATCCTTGGTCAGTCAGACTTATCATCGTCTCCTTCCATGTGTGCTCGATGTTCATTGACCAATAAGGAAGCATCAGACTTCTCAACTCTACTTTCGTGCTTCTCCTCTTTTTGCTTTAAACCTGGGGTAGAGATTCTTGCCTTTTATACTTGTGTCCTTCAAAAGATTTTCCTTGTAGTTCTTCTTCCAATGATTATCCAACCCATCCTTAGTGGGGGTTCTAGTTTTTTCAGTTCTTCTTGTGGCAAGGGTTGCATGGAAGAGTTAACATCTTGAATCAGATTTTGGGTAGGTCTTTAGTGGTTGGGCTACTTTGTTGTATTTTTGCAAGAAGGGAGTTGAGGACCTAGAGCATATCATGTGAAGCTGTGATATTGCTCGTATTGTGTGGAGCAGTTTCTTTCAAGTATTCAGTTTTAGTTTTGTCACCCATCAGAGTTGCAGGAAGTTGTTGGATAAGCTTTTCCTCCACTTGCATTTTTGTGATGAACACTGATTTTTATGGCAGGTTGGGGTGTGTGCTATACTGTGGGGGCTTTGGGGAGAGAGAAACAATAGAATCTTTGGAGGATGTGAGAGCTCGAATATCCATGTTTGGTCCCTGGTTGGATTCTCTATTTCTCTTTGGACCTTTGTTTCTTGACTCTTCGGTAACTATTTGTTGAGCCTTATTTCTCTTGCTCTTGACTGAACCATCGTAGGCTTTCCTTTTTTGTATGTCCGTGTATTCTTCAATTTTTTTCTCAATGAAAACCAACTTCTTTTACCAAAAGGAAAAAAAACTTAAATTGGAGGCTTACTGATTCTATTAATAACCATTTGAATATTTATTTAAGAAAAAGATCATTGAGACTTGATTTTTTCTTTCTATACTTCTATTTATATATAATGTTGCACAATGGATTACATTTTTATGACTTTGATCGATGTGTATAGATACTTTTTTCTTTTTGTTTTTGTTTTTGTTTTTTGTGAAGTTTACATCTCATTATCTCAAAATTTTCCTCTTCTTTTTTTTAATGCTCAAGGCCACCGTTATCTTTTAATATATTGAGTAGACTGCTGCTTTGAGTTCAACAACAAGAACTATTCCCATTCAATGATCGTTCATGATGCAGAGAACCCTAATGTTGTTGGCAAAGATTTGGAAGCAGCGTCCGATTGGCAAAAGTCCTCTTGTGCTGAGAAGATCTTGTCTGCTAATGATGATGTTAAGCCTGCAACTCTTGTAAGTCTTATCTTTGTCTAAACAAGTATTTGCACTGAATTTGGAGATAAGAAGTTTACAGGGCTCTCTTAAGGAAGTTATAAGCTTACGTTTTGATCTAATTAGGACCGTATAGGTGGATTCACTTCGTTACTGGTGCCACAGCATGTATAAATTTTTTTGCTATGGGACACCTAGATGCTATCTCGTCATTTGCATGTTGAAATTCCGTTGCTAGCCTGTTTTTGTTTTTTTTTTTTTTTCACCAAAGTGATATACTTCAAAAGATGGAAAATAAGGTTATGATTGAACATGTTACTCTATCAAAAAAAATGATTGGATTTTTTATTTATTATGAACTCATTTCATTGGAAGTACGAAATTACACACACATATACATTATTTTATATGTTTTTAGGAATTAGCGATGAAATAAGGGAGTTACTGGATCAAATTATTTTAAGTATATTTTCTTTTGAGGTTAATCATATCAAGAAATTCTCTTTTTTGAAACAAGTATCACAGTTTTCATTTTACTTTAGTCCCGAATTATTTAGAAATGATATAAACTTTCTTTCTCACACGGCAATATAACATCAATTTTAAAGAGACTTCTATCATTCTTTATATTCGATCATAAATGTTGATACTGGTTGAGGCGGCCTTCTGTGTTATGTTTGTTAATTGATTTTTGTAATTGTACACAGGTTAGCCATTCTGGCATTCCATTGAGAACCAATCTTTTGGACGACTCCGAGGAAGTTATTTCTTCTTCTCATAAGAAACCAGATAATGATAATAAAGAGTCGGACATTTCTGAACATGTTTGTACTGATAGCCACGTACTAAAAAATGAACGAGATGTGGTTTCTGATGTTCAGATTGAAAGTAGTTCTTCATCGGAAGAGCTGAAGCATGAAGACCCAAATTGTAAGGAGCAACAAGTTCATAGTTCTCCTGAAATAGACAGGTTTGCAGTTAAACTATACCCTTTAGCTGCACAAGTAAAAAGAGAAATCTTTATATTTTGATGATTCATATTTTGTTTTGAATTATAATTACTTAATTATTGTTGCATTAAGTTACAAATTTTTGTATTTTATATGCTCGATTCACCGTCAAGTTTCCGATAATTAGAATAATAATTAATACTTGTATCTAAGAATCATGAACATGGACCTGAAAACTATTTCTAAAAAAAGGTACTGTTGTTCGTATTGGATTAGATGGGTACTCCTCAAACACCTTTTCCTTTTGGACTCCTTAAGATGTGCCAATCATGATGCTGGTCTTTTTCACCTTGGGGTTCTTCACATGCCCATTTCCATGTTTTACTTCAAAGTTTTCATGGCTGCTTATTATGAAATAACTGAGATGTTCCTTCCTGCAATTCTTCTATTTTCCAGGGAGAACATTGACAATAGGACAATGGATTTGGTTCAGCCTTCAACAAGTGATTCAAACCCCTGGGGAGGACGCATTAAGTCATTTGTAGATGGTATAATCAACATATGGAGGAAACTTTAAATCCTTCGAGAAGTGTTAATCAGAGATGGTAAATATATCGTCTTCACACCGGTTAGGAACAAAGTCTCTGTTTCATGTATTACATCTAGCCCTTTTTTTTAATTGGCTGTTTATTCCCTTTGAGTAACCTTTTGTTAATTTCTAGATTTTTACCTTATGATTATTTCGAAGTTTGAACCAGAATTTCTGGAGACTTTCTTAGTTGAAATTTGCATAGTTGGAGATGAGGAATTTGTGATGTGTAGGAGGGAAGGGTTCAACTGCAATACAAACTAGAAATGAAAGAACTGTGTGCTTTGATGCAGAATCACTGAATTCAAGCTATATTGTTGTTTTCTTTTTCTTTCTAATTTGTTAGTTTAATCATCCATTTAACTTAGAGAGGGATGGGAGAAATCGAGAAAACATTCAGAAATGTACGGTTTGAAGAGAGATAACTGAGTTTGGTATTGATTGAGGAAGAGATGGAGGATGAGGTAGAAGTGGAAGATCTAACCAACCAATAAAGTGAGTATGGAGGAAAATGAACTCATGACGCAAATAGAGATGTTCACTTAATCTACATGACTAGTAGTCTCAAACGTTAGATAGAGTAAAAGTCGTTATGCTGCCCTTTTGTCAAAGATGGAAGAAATTAAAACTAAGGAAAAGTATTCCCATAAATACTTTTTCCTTTATAAGTTTTGATGTTGGAGTCGAGATAATTTAGCCCTTTTGTCAAAGATGGAAGAAATTAAAACTAAGGAAAAGTATTCCCATAAATACTTTTTCCTTTATAAGTTTTGATGTTGGAGTCGAGATAATTTAGTAATGGTTCTACACTTTCGAGCAACAATACTAGAGAAAGCTTCACTTTTGGTTCGTACATCAATTCAAAAGGTTGTTTGACATGAACCTTTAGTTTGTTTGACATGAACCTTTAGTTTCATACTCTTTAACAATTTAAACAAAGTCAAAGCTGAACACTTTTAGTCGGTACATAGCACCAAACTCTCCAAAGGTAAACTTTTGGCTTCAAATTCAAGAAAACTCATACATGGTGTCAAGTGTCACGGTCAGGCTCGTTCAAGGCCTGTTTTAATTTTATATTTCTAGGAAGTACGACGCTTCATAAATATCATGTTAGGCACATGAAATGCCTCAAAATGTACTCCAAGGAGATACAACTAGTTGTCAACTTCCCTCTACCCAAGGTTATATACTATAAGCGGTTGTTATTTCTCTCTTGCTGGCTTATATAACGTCTCTTTCAAAAATCTCTCTTTCGAAAATCTCTCTCTGCCCTCGCTTTCTAAAACCTTCTCTTAAAATCGAGGCTCGAGCATGAGCATACGTCGCTTAGCCGTAGGCGACGCAAGAACGAATTGGCTTAGCTCACTTGTCGTCGGAAAGTGAGTGCCGCACAATCGCAAGTCCACTGCCATTAAAAGTGCGATTGTTGCTCACTTGTCGTCGGAAAGTGAGTGCCAGTCGGAAAGTGAGTGCCAGTCGGAAAGTGAGTGCCGCACAATCGCAAGTCCGCTGCCATTAAAAGTGCGATTGTGGCATCAAGCTCCTCTTGTAGCAAATGTTTGTTTTCAGACTCAAAAAAACCTTGATTGGAAAAAAAAAATGATGCAATTTTGGTTCATAGATCGCCTCAAGTTCTCTGACATAAATTTTTTGTTCTACACACAACAAAGCTCAAACCAAGCTGCCTCTAAGGTCAGTGGCAGATCAGTTATAAGACAAAAAAACTTAATCAATGGAGGTAAGAAAGTAAGTTACAAATGCAATGTGGATGAACTGTAAAAGGCATTAATAATTTTATTCATACAACAAAGTTCTCAAAGTCCTGCCAATCCTCGTAGGGGAAAATAGGCATTCATTACTCAAATCTAACTTAGAAATCTCCACAACGCATTTCCAAATCCAAAACACCAGCTGACCCATTCATCCAGATAGAAACGGACTATACAAGAACAAGCCAATAAATAAGATGAACATGCGTTTCATTTCGTACCTTGTAAATAATATGGATTGTTGTTCTCTCTCATCTCTATCAAACCAAAGCATCCGCCAAAGCCTCAGGAGTAGCAGCTCCACTGCTGCCGTTCAGCACTGTCACGTTTCCATCTGAATCAACATCCACAATTACAGAGTCACCCTCCTTGATCTCCCTTGCCAGCATCTTCTCAGCCATGCTGTCCTCCAAAAGTCTCATGATTGCCCTTCTCAATGGCCTCGCACCGTAGCTTGGGTTATATCCTTCCTCGACTACCCTATCCCTGAATCTCTCTGTCACTTGAAGCTCAATTTCCTTCGATTTTAACCTATTGAACACCTCCTTCAGCATTATATCTGAAATCTCCTTCACCTCCAGTTTTGTGAGCTGACGGAACACGATCATCTCGTCCAACCTATTCAAGAATTCAGGCCTAAAGTATTGTTTCAGCTCCTCTGTCACCAAGCTCTTGATACGGTTATAGCTACTGTCCTTCTCATCGTAGTCCAGGTCGAACCCTATTCTGCGACCTCCCTTCTCAATTACACTGCTTCCCACGTTTGATGTCATAATCAAAAGTGTATTCTTGAAGTCTACAGTTCTGCCCTTGCTATCTGTCAACCTTCCATCCTCCAAAATTTGAAGCATCATGTTGAACACATCAGGATGAGCCTTTTCAATCTCATCGAAGAGAACCACTGTGTATGGACGGCGACGAACGGCCTCAGTTAATTGACCACCCTCTGTGTAACCAACATAACCAGGGGGTGAACCAATGAGCTTGGAGACGGTATGTCTTTCCATGAATTCACTCATGTCGAGACGAATCATTGCTTCTTCAGAGCCGAAGTAGTAAGCAGCCAATGATTTTGCTAACTCGGATTTACCAACACCAGTTGGCCCAGAAAATATAAAGCTTGCAATGGGACGATTGGGATTCTTGAGTCCAACACGAGCTCTGCGTATGGCACGGCTGATGGCTTTAACTGCTTCATCTTGACCAATGACCCTCGTATGGAGGGTCTCTTCCATTTTGAGGAGGCGGTCAGATTCATCGGTGGATACTTTATCAACAGGAATGCCAGTCCAGGAAGCGACAATATGCTGAATATCAACTTCAGTCACAACAGCGCCTACGTCTCCTGCCTCACTTTCCGCCTTGCTCATCTCCTTGCCTTTATCTATGAGAGCAGATATCTTAGTCTTAAGTTCCATTTCTCTATCACGCAATTCTCCAGCCTGTTTAAAGTAAAAATTCACTTAAGTTTCCTTTGCTAGAGCTGAATCAACTTCAAAATGGCATGGAAATACTAAAATGTAAATATTGCAACCACTTGATCATTCATAGAAAAACCCAGAGAAAGAACACCAACATGCAGTTTCAGGAAGCTTAGCTGTAAAACATTGTAAATAACAGGGGAGAAAAATAAAAGAGAACAAAATTACCTTCTCAAAATCTTGACTCCTAACGGCCTCATTCTTCTCCTTTGTAATCTGCCTGAGCTCTTTCTCCAGCTCCTTAGCTTCCTCAGGTAGCTGCAAATAACATTAAAAATATAGCAAAATCGTGTAGAAACACACCAGGATTGGAGGAGTTGCAAGGATGATGAGAACAGACCTGAGCATGACGAAGGCGAACTCGGGAACCTGCTTCATCAATCAAGTCAATTGCCTTATCAGGCAAGAATCGATCACTGAAATTTACAGATACCCATCAAAACACACCTTTCACAAAGTAATTACGAAAATCAACTACAATCTTAACTAATTAATCCGAAGCACAGATATTACAAGGCAATCTCTCAACTACACATCATTATTATCATAACACATAAAAATGTCAAGGCAATAACCTCAAACACGTTATCATGCTTACATAATCCACTCAAATACGTGGACTTCAATGTTATCAAATATTATCCAACCAAAACGGTCTATTAGGAGGTAAAATAAATGGAGGTTAAACACCACAGAGCTTTTCTTTCCACTTAGATAAATATTATCTTTCAAGGAAACGATAACACACCTGATGTACTGGTATGACAGCTGTGCAGCGGCCTCTAATGCTTCATCTGTGTAACGAAGTTTGTGGTGGATCTCATAGCGCTCTCTCAGGCCTTTCAAAATCTGTATGGTTTCATCCACAGATGGCTCTGGCACTTTGACTGGCTGAAATCGTCTCTCTAAGGCTGGGTCTTTCTCAATGTGCTTTCTGTATTCATCCAAGGTTGTAGCTCCAATGCACTGTAAAAAATAGAGAACCGGATAATTTATTTAGGTAGCACAGGAAGAAAGAATTAAGATGTGTAACGACCCTAGAAACATTATAAGGATTACAATGATTGAAAAATACTAGCTAGTACGGTTAAAAACTTTATAAACATTTGTTATCCTATATTTTGCAACTATAGTACCTTTCGTTACTTTTTGTCATGACGGATATCTCTTCATTGAGAAGAATCCTCCTTACAAAATAACTTGGTTGATAAAAAATAGAGACAAGATCCAGGTGACTAGTTTTCGTTCTATCAAAGATATGGTGACATGGACCCTTGATAGCTCCAGTTCTTAGACTTGAAGCTCCAAACTACTCCCTCGGAAATTGAAGCTCGTCCTTGGGCATCTAGTTTACAAAATTCAAGTGCTAAAGAAGGACAAGTTTTTTTGGTGATCCCTTGCCTACAGAAGCTTCGTTACTCAAGTTAGACTCCAAAGTAAAACTACTAGTTGGTTGAAAAGAAAAGCTACAGATCTTTAAAACTGCGCCATTAGAGCATTTTTGTGGCTCATACAGTTTTAAAGAAACCATAAAATTGTAATGATCAGAAATTCATATGTAGCTTTTTTTATCTTGTACATTAAATAACCTCATGTTGAAGCGTCTCTCACAATATATATATATACATATATATAAGAAAACATTGTTCATTGCCCACATTTTATTTTTAACTATCCTAGAGTGGAGGGTTTTCATCCAATATCTTTCTTTTCTGGGGTTTCCTCTCCCCCAGCCTCTAAGTTGTTTTGGCCTTCTTCTTTGGTGAATGTAGGGTCTCCTATCACAAAATAATGTTAGATAACTATCCAGTTTTTTCTTTTATTAACTAGAGTGGAAGGTCTTCATACAATAGCTTTCTTTGGTGGGCGTTTCCTCCACCATGGCCTCTTAAGTTGTTTAGGCTTTATTATAGTGATTATAGGGTCTCAAGATTACCTGCAGTTCACCCCTTGCAAGGGCAGGCTTTAATATGTTTGCTGCATCAATAGCTCCTTCTGCAGCCCCTGCGCCAATTAATGTGTGCACCTCATCAATAAAAAGGATAATATCATCACTTTGTTTTATTTCCTCCATCAGTTTCTTTAGTCTTTCCTCAAACTCCCCACGATATTTTGTGCCAGCTACAAGAAGGCCCATATCCAAGGTTATAACCTGCACAACGGAAAATTTTAAATAACCATTTCAATAACAAATGCCCCACAAACATAATGGAGAAAAATAGCCCAAACTTCAAACAATGGTGTAGAACGGGTTTGACAAACAAAATAATTCCTTGATTTGTCTCAAAAGAACAATTGCCAGAGCTAGCTGACTCGCAGAAATAAAGACCATTTTAATTTAAGTTGGGCCATATAAATAGCCTACAGAGTATCTGAGACTTTTCAGCATAACAAGGTACAGCGTACTGCTTAATTATAATTATGGTTGGATTGATTGTTCAACAAGCAACAAGGAGATATGTTCTTGAGTTCCTGAAAAGCGGCCAGTTATTGTAAAAACAAATTCTAACCTTCTTCCCTTCTATCGTTTCAGGAACATCCCCATTAGCAATCCTTTGAGCCAGACCTTCAGCAATGGCAGTTTTCCCAACACCAGGTTCACCAATGAGGCAAGGATTATTCTTTGTTCGCCGACCGAGAATTTGGGTTACACGTTCTATTTGCGGCTGCCTACCAACAACAGGATCTAGTTTACCCTACAGAGGCAAGAAACTGAAATTAGAACCTGTGTTTCCACAGAATAAAAAACTCCTTGTCAGGTGTCACTGAAAATATATTTCCAAAGCACCTCTTCTGCCAGCTTAGTTAAGTTTGTCCCATACTCTTCTAGGGTAGGCATCTTGTTCCCATTGGTCCCTCCTCCAACACCAGCACCAACAGCCTCTGCGCTCTCACCCACCATTCGAATAACCTATTCACTCAATTTGTAAATTATCAGGTGAAAGTTAAAATATTTGCCTCAAATAAACTAAATTGATATTGTCGGGACGAAATTCTTGCCTGAGTCCGAATGTTAGAGGGATCAGCACCTAAATTTTCAAGAACACGAGCTGCAACACCCTCCCCTTCACGAAGTAGTCCCAGAAGCAAGTGCTCTGATCCAATATAATTGTGGCCTGAAAATGCAGGAAATTCATGTAAGTTTCGCATCAATACAACAACGTAAAGCACACTTAAGATACACATAAGATAAGGTCCATATATTAGAGCATGGACTTATATTTCTATAGCCAACATAAATACACAGGGATACACATCCCTTTAGATTTCCAAGAAGTTAGCATAAATTTAACATCTACCAATAGAATGGTGAAATGCATCAATTTTTTAAGTCGAAAAAAATAACTAAATACTACTAATATCAATACCATGATTTTCAAAATTATATACATTGTATCAAGCCACATCCAAAGCTGCAGAGAAAGATTATTAGTGCTTCAACACCGGGCTCTGGGACACAATTTCGGAGAAAACAATATTGTTTTTTTTTCTTATCAAGCATTCTGTGTTATCCAAAGAAAGTTCAAACATGTTTAAGATTACCAAGTTGGCGAGCTTCCTCAAGAGAAAGTTCCAAAACACGCTTTGCACGAGGAGTGAATGGAATTTCTACAGCAACGAAACCACTGCCCCGACCAATTATCTTCTCCACCTCCACGCGTGCATCTTTAAGATTAATTCCCAAAGATTTAAGAACCTTAGCAGCAATACCAGTGCCTTCCCCAATAAGACCCAAAAGGATCTGCTCAGTGCCAACAAAATTGTGACCAAGCCGCCTCGCTTCCTCCTGGGCAAGCATAATTACCTTAATTGCCTTTTCAGTGAATCGCTCAAACATAGCTTTTGGAACACATCTGCTAGCCTTTCCTCCCCTGGAAGAGATTGCAATTGCCATCTTCGAATAGAAATCTTGCCCATTTCTTAACATGTCATCCAAAGAATTAAGCCCCCTAAGTCCAGAGAAGCTTCTTATCCTCAAACCAGGTGCATGGACAGTCGACATCATTTTCACAGCCTGTCTTACATTACCTGATACTTTCGAAGGCGGACACCTTCTTCCACCAATCAAACCAGGAAAATTTGTCGGTTGAACCAAAACTCTAGCCATGATGTCCACAAACTGTCAGGTTTTAGAGAGAGATTTATGGAAGTCTCAAAGGAGCTGCTGCTAACTGGATAATAATGTACGGCCGCCGCCGTTGAGGTGGATGCTCGTGAGAGAGGCAACAGCCGCCGTTGAGGTGGATGCTCGTGAGAGAGGCAACAGCCGCCGTTGAGGTGGATGCTCGTGAGAGAGGCAACAGCCGCCGCCGCCCACCAGGAAGCCACTGCCGGAGGGATGATCGTTAGAGAGACCGAGACAGAATCAGAGTTAGGGCTATCTCCGATTTAGGGCACTATACCTTTATTTAAATATTTTAAGTTATTATTATTCTTCAAATTTTTTTATTTACATTATCTGCACTTTTTGTTATTTTCTTGTTTTTGAAAATTTTTAGTTAATTTATTTTATGCTGACTATTTTGTTAAACGACTTGGGCTTCCGGGCCGGCTCGGCCTACCACAATGAGCCAAGTTGGGCTTCAACTATGGGCCACATGGACATCCACCAACAGCCCGAGTTGGGCTACAACTTTGGGCCGCGTTGGGCTTACATTATGGGCCGACATGAGCTTCCACTATGGGACGATTCGGGCCTCCACTATGGGACACATGGGCTTCCACCTACGGGCCGACTTGGGCTTCAACTTTGGGCCCATTTGGGCTTATCTTATGGGCCGGAGATAGGCTTCCACTATGGGCCGATTTCGGCCTCCACTATGGGCCGACATGGGCTTTCACTATGCGCCGAGTTCGGCTTCCATAATGGGCCGAGCTCGCCTTCCACAATAGGCCTAGCTGGGCTTCGACAATGGGCCGAGTTCGGCTTCCACAATATGCAGCCTTCGGCTTCTATTTACGGCCGCCTTGGGCTTCCACATATGAACCGAGATGGTCTTTCCACTATGAGCCGCCTTGGGCTTCCACTATGGGCCTACTTGGGCTTCCATTACGGGCCGACTTGGTCTTCCACTATGGGCCTAGTTGGGCTCCATTATGGGCCAACATGGGCTACCACAATGGGCAGATTTCGGCTTCCACTAATGGGCCAAATTGGGTAACCACTACGGGCCGATTTGGGCGTCCACTATGGGCCGAGTTGGGCTTCCATTATGGACCGATTTGGAGTTCCACTATGGGCCAACATGGGCTTCCATTATGGGCCGACTTGGGCTTCCACCAACGGTCGATTTGGGCTTCCACTATGCGCCGATTTGAGCTTCCACCTACGGGCCTAGTTCGGCTTCACTATGGGCCAAGTTAGGCTTCCACTATGGGCCGACTTAGGTTTCCAACTATGGGCCAACTTGGGCCTCCACCTATGGGCTGACTTGGGCTTCCACAATGGGCCGGATTGTTTTCAACCTACGGGCCGAGTTGGGCTTCCACTATGGGCCTTGTTGGGCTTCGAGGATGGGCTGACATGGGCTTCCACTATGGGCCGATTTGGGCCACCATTAAGTGCCTACTTGGGCTTCCACTATGGGCCGATTTGGGCTTCCATATTGGGCCGAGATAGTCTTCCAATTATGGACCGATTTGGATTTCCACTATGGGCCGACTTGGGTTTCAAGTATGGGCCTAATGGGCTTCCTTAATGGGCCGACTTGGGCTTCCATCTACGGGCCGACATGGGCCTACACTATGGGCCTAGTTGGCTTCCATTATGTGCCGACATGGTCTTCAACCTATGGGCCGACTTGGGCTTCCATCTATGGGCCGACTTGGGCTTCCACCTACGGGCCGAATTGGGCTTCCACCTATGGGACGACATGGGCATCTACCTATGGGCCGAGTTGGGCATCTACCTATGGGCCGACTTCGGCTTCCACGATGGGTCGAGTTGGGTTTCCACTATGGGCCCACTTGGGCTTCCACCTATGGGCCGACTTGGGTTTCTACAATCGGCTGAGTTGGGCTTTCACAATGGGCGGAGTTAGGCTTCCATCTACGGGCCGAGTTGGGCTTGCACTATGGGCCGACATGGGCTTCCACTATGGGCCGAGTTGGGCTTTCAGAATTGGCTGAAATGGGCTTTCACCTATGGGCCGACATGGTCTTCAACTCTGGGCCCCCTTCGGCTTCCACTATGGGCCGATTTGGGTTTCCGCTATGCGCAGACTTGGGCTTCCATTATGGGCCGACCTTGGCTTCTACCTTGGGCCGACATGGGCTTCCACTTACGGGCCGATTTGGGCTTCCACCTATGGGCTGACTTCGGCTTCCACTATGGGCCGTCTTGAGCTTCCACAATGGGCCGACATGGGCTTCCACAATGGATCGACATGGGCTTCAACCTATGATGCGACTCTTGGGCTTCCACTGTGGGCCGACATGGGCTTCAACCTATGGGCCGACATGGGCTTCCACTATGGGCCGACATGGGCTTCAACCTATGAGGCGACTCTTGGGCTTCCACTCTGGGCCGATAGGGCTTCAACCTATGGGCCGACATGGGCTTCCACCTATGGGCCGACATGGGCTTCCACCTATGGGCCTAGTTGGGCTTCCACTATGGGCCGACTTGGGTCTCCACCTATGGACCCACTTGGGCTTCCACTATTGGCCTCTTGGTCTGTCACTAAAGACCCTACTTGCTCTTCCACTATGGACCTATTTGAATTTCCACTATGGGCCTATTTGGACTTCCACTATGGGCCGATTTGGCTTCCACTAAGCCCGATTTGGGCTTCTACTATAGGCCTATTTCAACCTGCACTGTGGGCCAGTTTGGGCTTCACTATGGGCCTATTTGAACTTCCACTATTGACCTATTTGGGCTTCCAATATGTGCCTATTTCAGATTCCACTATCGTCCGATTTGGGCTTCCACTATGGACCGATTTGGGCTTCCAGTATGGGCCATTTGGGCTTCCACTCAGTGGGCTTCAGACCAACTCCAATAAAGTAAAGTATTTTGCATTGACAACCCAATTTTCTAGTACTTTATTATGCAGTTGAGCCTCATTTGAGACTTACCGACAATACAACCCAACTTTCTAGTACTTCATAATTTTTATCTATGTGGCTAAGATCATTCAACATAGATTGTTCCACGCTTAATTTAGAGTTCTTATGAATGAGCTACTAGTTCTTATGAATGAGCTACTGAAAAAAAATGTACATTATTATAGGGAATAATTTTCAATTTTTTTAAGCATTTTTTAGTCATTCTATTCTTAAGATTGCTCTCATTTTTATATGGTCGTATAGTTCATTCATATACTCCTTCTTTACTCTAGTATCACAGCAAACCCCTAGAGCGTATATGTTAAAACTCCCAAATTAAGATGATTTCATCTCATGATATGAAACTTCGAGAAATTTGATCTAACAACCTTGTTGAAGAACAAGACATTCAGATCTAAAATATTTAAAAGCCCCAAAATAATTAAAAAAATCACCGTAAGAGAAAGCAAGATTTAAATTATCTTGTTGATCAAATATCTCAGAGTCATATCATTGTTTGCGAATTGAGTTTATCTCACGGTAATTTGAACATTTTTTTTAATTTTTTTCATAAAATTTATATCACGTGATTTAGATATCTTAAGTCATATCATAAACCAAAGCATAAAAACAAACCGTTATGATTAAATACATTAATGCAATCTAAGAATAAAAGACTATGAAAATGGGATGATATTAATAAATAGTGGAAAGACCTAACTTATTGAACTTTATTATTTACATAAGATCTCACCTTGTATGGCTAAGGAAGCCATGTTTTGTTTTTTGCACACCATTTTCCAAAAAATCTCTTACTTTTAAATGTTCTAAATTAAGTGTTGTCTTCGGACGTCAGCAGCCTTTCTTTCTCAAATACTATTTACTTAAAATAAAATAAATAAATAAAAATATATTGTAGCGAAAACTATCCAACCCAATTAAATGTTTAATCATATATCATGATTTGATTTTAAATTTTATGTCACATCTCACTCCGAGCGACTTGATATGATGATTAAAAATGTAAAATTATTATATATTTATAAAATGTATCTTCATTCTCGATAACTCAATTATAAAAACTCAAAAATTAAAAGAATGTTTAACTTGAAACAATCACACGTTGGATAAACTCCTAAAAATTTTCCTATAAGTAATGAGTGAGAAACCGTACCTTAAGAAACTGTGTTAGTTTTTGGGTATAGTTTTTACTTTTAGAAACAACAAAAAAGTAAAATGGTCATGTCGTAATGGATGCAGGAAAATATCAAAGCCATTAGGTCTCAGATACAATTTCAAAAGCTCAACATCTTTAGCTTAGAACAATGGGCATGTTGTCAGGTAAATAAATGGGCATGCTGTCGTGGATGCAAGGAAATCTCAGAACCATCAAGTGTCGAATGCGGTTTCAAAAGTTAAGCATGTTTAGCTTGGAACAATGATAGGTTAGAATAACTTTCTAAAAAATTTCTTAAGAACCCGTATTGGTTTGTAGGTATAGTTTTCACTCGTACAAACGATAGGTAAATAAAATGGGCATGATGGGCATGTTGCAGTGGATGCCGGGAAATATCAGGTCTCAGATTACGATACATCGTGATCCGAATACTAGATATGAGGAGGAAAATGAAAATATCGTGTGGTTGTGAGAGTGGGAACGATTTTGATCCTCCGCGTACACAATTTGACCCAAAGACGTTTCGAAAGAGCAACGACAAGGAGGGGAAAAGTTGAGTGTTAGTGGAAATCTAAAGGGATTCCATTTCAACAAATTCCAACAAGGACTTCCATAACTATAAGCTTCCTCCCCATGCAAACCATTTTTGTACTCAACTTTAACCCATTAATCATCTTTTTAATTATTAATTAATTTACTAATTTATTATTATTATTATTATTATTATTATTATTATTATTTCTCCTTTCTTCCATCACCTAAATTTTATTAATTCATATTAAAGGTCGAAGTAGTTCTATGTTGGGAGATCTATTAAGAATTTTCGATAAGACACATGTTGGTCTGGTAGGTGGAATTAGTTTGCACTTTTTAAAAGCAAGAAATGAGTAACGTGACTGAGTCATCGGGTACCAAATCCAAATTCTGGATCCAGGCATGGGGCGTTTGGTGTCTAAATTTGTAAATAATCCCTAAATTTTTAATGTTTAATTAGACATAAAATTGAAAGTAAAACACGTTAAACCATTGAGTTCCTATGATTGAGCCACGTTCTTTTAAGTCTGTCTTAGTTAATCTTAGTTTAAAATGACGTTGATAAACATAACGCTAGTGTTCAATAGACATTCTTAAACGATATTTTTGCTACACAAGTCATGAAATGATTGA